CTCATAGTTGTTGTTGCATCGAGTTGTCAGTTCAGCGTGAGTTCGGAATGTTGAGATATTTCTGGGTTAGCTTTATCTTTACATTGCGTTTTGTTTAACGTTCTTAATAGTTTGAAGTGTAACTATTGATTGTACTTTGTGATGTTATGAGTTGTACGACTATTTTTATGGAAATTTCCAGATCTCTGAAGTGTTTCTTTGGATAAAATAAAGGCCCAAATGCAGTTTAGACCACAGCTTGGCGACTTTTTTTGAATGGGCAATAAACGCTCCAACATGGCTAACTCGATATTTTGATTCACTATAAACGTTGATTCAGTTTTTAAATTGTTACCACCAAATATTAGTGCCCTGTATTATATTTAAAGAAATTAAATAATGAAGAATCTGTATAAATGTATATGTTTCTCGCATTGTGATAAAACAGCGGCACCTAGAAGCATCAAATTTTTGAACAGCGTACGTTTCCACCCGAATATGGGCAACTGGAAGCCGGAATTCGGAATTTATTTTATTATCTATTTCATATTTTGTAAAAAGGGCCCACCATCGTTAAATTGCATTCGATAGCAGTCAAAATGGATATTTTCGTTGAAATATGGTACCCGGAATTTTTCGTGATTACAATACGGAAGCAAAAACAATTTGAGGAATTTTATCATCACAGTAATATACATTTTGCTGAATTTAGTACATGGGTAATAAGAAAAGTACCTTTCTTCCTTTGTAAACTCTAACTATTTGTACGCAAACATACAAAATATGTCACATATTAAAAACTGGGACTTAAAAGCCTTTTCTTGAATTGATCCCCTAATTGTTTTCTGTATATAAGCGGTTGTCAAACTTTTAACTACCGCGTACCATCTAAACAAAAAATTGAAAACCTTTAGTACCACAACTACAAAGTACTACCACCACCACCACCACTCTTGATGAACAAAGCTCAAATCGCTTAAATTTACGAGTGTTAGAGAAAAAAAAACTCAATCAGGCTGTTGGGGGTTTAATTTTTGAATTTAATAGTTAAAAATACTTTGCTTCTTTGCGTACCACCGGTTGAGGACCTTAGCTCTATATTATGCAGCATATAATCTAATCCTAATTAAAAATAAAAAATAAATGAAAAAAAGCTTTCAGATTTTACATTACGCCCAAAGGGACTTTTTTTTCAACGTTTTGTGTGTTATCTTTATTTATTGAATATCATGTTCTTCGCACTTAAACCATACACTTGAGTTCAGTATCAATATCGCAAAGTAATTTTAAAATGAGCATATCTTTAGAATTTCCGATACACAGTCTCGCGCGCTGGAGATAAAAAGGTTTATTTACTTTTTCCTTTGCTCGCTTATATATCGTTGAGTTTGTTAATCAAAAATAAGTTAAAGTTTTACCAAATATAAAATAGATAATATAACAAATTCCAAATTTGGGCTTCCAGATGTCCATATTCGGGTGGGAACGTACGTTATTCACAATTTGATGGCTCTAGGTACCGTTGTTTTATGACAATGCGAGAAGCGTACATACATTTATGTAGATCGTTTATCGTTCTCTCTGTTGTTAGATACATTACTTTCAACCTAATTTAACCAGCATTGGGTACTTCCGCTAGCTTAATATAAATATAACTAGGAACATAAAAATAGGTCCTTACTTATCTTGAAGCTGTTGGCTGACTGGATTTATTCTGTTAAGTATTCTTAACAGAATAACTAGCACTAAATTATGATAGTTAGTTAGTGCTAAGCATTGACAGAGGAAATAAAATTTTAAATCTTTAATTTTAATACAAATATTTTGTGTTTCACGTTATACTCTTATTAAAAATATTTTCATTTATTATTTCATAAAATGCGTCCTAAGTTTCTCACAGAAGATAGCTTTGAATTTTCTTTGACACTCAGTATCTGATTTCTGCTTCAACGTTAAACTGAATGTTAGGAACTGATTAAAAGAACTGCACATCCCTTTGGTGAAGAAGCAAAAAAAATGGATATTTGTTTAAAGAAATGAATAAAAAGTTCTTAAATTGAAAACAGCACAACGAAATAAAATGACATTTTTCCGAAATTCGCAAAGTGAAAAAGAAGCACAGAACACGAGATAATATTAGCTAATTTCACAGCGGTTTTAATTTTAGAAGCCAGAAGCTCGAGAATCTTTTGAAGGTACGACCTCCTGTTACAAATCTTGCAACTTCTTCAGAGGAAGCAATTCCGTTCATAAAAACTTAACCACTATAAATTCTTGGAATAAAAATAGCATCTGGATCAGCGAAAATTTCATAAAACGCCGTTTTTAATTTTAGAAAAATATTATAGCAAAATTTTTTTTTATTTTCTATTTATTTTTTATTTTTTTTAATTATTATTTATTATTTATTACTTTTTTTATTGATTGATTTCTAACTGTTGTTAACTTCAATAGCATTAATAGTATGCCAACTGAATTGTTTTCATCTGACAGTCGATTTTTCGAATAGTCTGCAATGGATGGTGTTGGGTAAGTCTTCAGCTTTCAGAGATATCTATCAGAAATTTAATCACATAGCTAAGTTTAAAATTGAACTATTAGGTTTTACATTATTTTATATAATATTTAAAAATAAATAAATAAATAAATACCCTCATAAATAATTTGAATCTGAATTAGTCTTTATATTTAGGTAGTTACTCACCCTACGTAAGATATTACAGTAAAACTCCACTTAATCGAAATCGTCAGTGCGGAAAAATAGCTTTGACAATGATGCCCTGACTGTAAGCTTAAAATTAAAATGAGTGGTAAATCTTCTCAGGAGGTAATATTAAATGTCTCTGACAGATTATTACTAAGGTTCGAATTAAGGTTGTATTAAACAAATTAAAATTGGCTAAGCTATTAAATTAAAAACATTAAAGGTTCTAATTATATTTAAAAATATTTTCTATATCATCCTAAGTGGATTTTGGTATCCTGTGAGTAAATTTATCAGTGATGAATCACTGTTGTTGACAATATACTGAACTCTCGATTGTACATATGTGAATTACCTCTGCTTGTAGTTTATACGCCCCCCCCCCAGTTGCACCGAAATTTCTCTAGCTTGTCCTAGGAATGAATGAAATATGTTTGATTTATGGAAGGAACTCCCAGTTTTGGCCTAGTGAACCTCACGGCTAAGTTTGGGATAAAGTGAATGTAATGCTAATTCATTGCTATTTGCTATCATAAGACAAGGAAGCCCTGCCGCCCTGAGTCAAAAATATGAAGCTTTTGATCTTACTTTTGGTATTCAAGAGTTTAAATATATCACTGAAGGAAATAGAATAAGTGGGATGCAAAAAATAGGAATGATAAATTTTGTAGAATTTTATAATACCAAGGCATCGTTTAATAGCAGGGACTCAATAGAAGTTCACAGAAGCCATAAAAATGAAATAACAAGAATAGATATGATGAAGAACTAATATTCGTATACGAGTTCTTAGATTACACGAATGAATAAAGCGATCTTAAATTTGATGCTTTGTACAAAGATGCTGTACTGATTGAATAGCATGACTCTCAAGAAAGGAGTATAGATGTTTTCACAAAGAAATATTGAAAAGATACGCAAGTCCGTCGCTATACTTTCTGCCGTCCAAGGACTGAAGAACTTTCCTGTTCCTAAAATTTTCACAACTCACAACTACTAAGTACTTATTTTTCAAATTCATATTAAATTCTAATTCATCTAAATTCTAAACCCACCCAAGTGTCATTCCTAGGACCCAGGTGTCCTGACCTTCTCACCCAGGTATCCTGACACCGCTCCACAAGGCGGTAAATTTTGTCACCCGGCGCCACCGCAATGAAATCTGGCGCCGCTTCTAAATATGAGTAAGTTTTATTATTTCAGTTTCATTCCAAAGATATTTTGCGACATATATTTTTTTAAACGCAATTTCTGCCATTACGTATTTCTTTCATTATTTTACGAATATCTCCTCATAAACGCATATTTATTAATAAGAATTCATGTGGTTAAAGATTGATCAATATCTAACAAGCGCCTGTTGGCGCCCCTTTCTGGGAGACCCTCGCCTGTCACTGCAGATCTTGCAAGCCCACTTCTGTCGGCCTTTCTTCTTAGTGTAGAATTTTAATGGCAAAATTAATAATACATATTGATTAGAAACAAAATTTTAGCACTTTCTGCATTTTTTACCTCATAATGCAAATTTTTGTCGTTTTGTTTGTTCACATTTTCATGGTGACATATTTCTTCGATAAAACAGGGATTAATTTCCAGTTTCTTCAGAATTATTTATCTCCGACAGATTGTTGAATGATCCGTACGAAGCTTAGGCCGAACACTAGTTTTACCTATAGGTTCATTTAAAACTCATGATTTACGAAGAAAAATTACTAGTCTTTAACATTTGGAAGCAACAGACTGCATATTTGACATCAGATTTTTATCTAGATAGAACCAACTGTCATATAATATATGTTATATAACGGTGAATAACAGCATTTCTGTGAATAGCAGCATTTGCTGAAACCGTACGTTATAAAAAGAGGTGTGTAGTTTTCCAAAGTTTCTATAAACTTCCCTTATGACGTGTAAGGTCTCTTTACATGCAGTATGACTTACGCAACCCGTACACTGCTACACCTATGCAATAGCCGTATCATAATCTACTTGGAAATTTTACACAGTGGAACGTTCAGATTTCTTTTTCCTGTCTGCTCTTGAACAGTATAATTTATTTTATTGTATTCAGTACTATTTTCAAAAAATATTTTTTAATATTACCCATTCATAACATACGTTAATTAATTAAACAACATTTTAAGACTTTATGAGAATAAAATAGTTAATATACAAAATATTTAAATATTAACAAATAAAATAATTAGTTAGTGATACTCTTCCTGATAAGGATAGAGATTTAGGCTTTTAACACAGAGATATCAGTAATATAATTTATGCTAAATTTTATCAATAATATGAAGCGTAAGCAGCTTACTTGGAAGAGGAAGAATATTTTGCCTTGTACCAAGAACAACTTCTTCCTCTTCATCAGATGATGTTGTTGACTCATATGGTTCGCTAGAAGAAGAAACAAAAAATATGGTTGATTTCCTACCCGATTTGGTCCTGCCATCTGCCATAGCAGAAGATTCAGAAGAATTGTCTCCTTCATCTGACAATGCTTCATTATTGAAGGTTTCTGTTATGGATTCCAACCGTTTCAGTGTAGAAGTGCTTGTAGAGCTGCTGTTAGATAGTGCTAACGAAGACTCTTTCGAAGAAGTTGACACTGTTGACGATGTCTTCATTGAAGACACTAATGAAGCATTCGTCGATGAAGATGTTTCATTACTTCCAAAAGAGATATCAGAGTTCATTTGTTCGCTTTGATTTGAATTTATGTTCGACGAGTCCACGTTCTCCGAACCAATCCAGGGAATAACCACATGAGACTGAGTACTTTCTTCATTTCTATAGTATGAGTTAGTATCATAGGATGAAACACGCTCATTCGATGAGAAACTTGGAATGCTTTGGCTTTCGAAGACATTTTCGAAATCAATATCGTCTTGACTGTAGGCCAGATTAAAAGAAGCCAATAGGAAAACGATGTATAAAATGGCTGATTTCATATTTGGTTTGGAAACTTCAAATGCTGGATAAATGCAGTGACTAAAGTTCCAAGAATATTGGATTTAATATTCAGCTGCTGAGCATATATAAAAATCTGCAATGAAAAAAAACCCCTTTAAAATAAACATTAAATAAACACTTCAAAAACAGAGTTATTATAAATAAAGTTAGTTTAAAATAAGCCCCAAAATACAAGCAAAAACAAAAAATGTTGCTTTTCTTTGAAATAACAACACTCCGGTAGCGATGAATTATCATTTATTTCTCTTTCTGTGATTTGATAAACTGCAATTTTTTTAAAGCTATTCTTTTTTATTTTGTGAATTGAATTGGGACAGATAAGGCATGTTATTTCCATGTATCCTTGATATATTACTCTACTACCTAATGCATATATAGTCTGTAATACTCAAAACTTCATTACATAACAGATTCGAGTGGGGGAGTTACCATACGTTACTCGCATTCATTACATAGGCTAATATTAAATTATATGTGTATGTATCAATATTTAATAAATAATATTGTACATTTTACTACACTAAATATTTTGTAATATTTGTACCATGAATAAGCAAGTATAATTATGTTGATAGTCAAAAAGTCTTGGTATTTTGTTGAATTTTGATAATATGAATAGATTTGAAATTTTCTTCATGTGGAACAATCGTTAAATGCTGTATGAAATATACGGTTGAACTTAAGGCATAAGGATCACTTCCGTAGAGAAAAGTGCGAAAGAATATTTTGTTTTGACCGTTTATCAACAAGCAAATAGAAATTAAAATTGCAAAATGTCAGATATGTGATGCATCTCAGAACAAAATTGTAAGCCCCCATGATACTACATGACATTCCTGATTTATGCAGATATAAAATTGGCTCAGATTTCCTACAAAATTCATCGCCTTTGGAGTTCTTAAATTTTTCATTCAAAATGAAAATACTCATGATAGTATATAAAAAAGCGATTTCTTTTTAAATCAAGAATCTTCTTTATTAATGTGATACAGAATTTCCAAACTGACCTAACATCCTATACATCAACGATTATTTATCTAAGGATAGCCCAGAGGCTCTTAGAAGCTGAACTAAAGTCTTGAAACTTCGCTTTGCTACTGACATGCAACTTTAATTGTTTTAATTAGGATCACTTAAAATGCTGCAAGAACCATTCGTAGTAAATGGAAAATTAAGTGCAATCACACTGCTCGTTAAAAATGATAAAAAGCCCAAATTCTAAGCTTTAAAACAACTTTTAAAATAAGCAATTTTCCCAATTTAAAAAACTTAAAATGTTTTAATTATCCTTTCTAAAATACCACATCTTTCTTTTATTCACAACATTATAGCATAAAAAAGTGTGCTATTGAAGGAATAAATTTGGCAACAGTAGATCAAAGTAAATTTTGAAAGGTGTAATGAATGCCATTCACTCTCAAATAAAAGCGTTGAAAAAGAATTTGACTACTTAAGATCGAAAGTGGCTAAAAATGGAAAAATTCTGGCAATAATTTAGCAAGAGAACTACAGTAAAATACACACCATTTAATCTGAAAAAAAAAAAAAATAGTTATGTCCACATTTCTGAATAATATATAAAGTAGTACTTCCATATTCATGAGTAGTTCTACGATTTGCATGATGGCAAGGAACCACGGGCGTATCGAATATGCTATGTGTAATGCAGTTTATATACACCATACACAATTACATAAAAATTTAATTAATAAATTACACACAATAAAACATTGCCCACATTAAACAAAATTGTAGTAAAATGTACTAGAGAGTATGATGCTCAGTTTCATAATACGAGAGAAGAATAAAAGTAAAGTACATTCAGACAAACACAAGAGACTAAAATTTACAAAATATTGATCCTAGTCCTCTTGTGCCTTTCTGAATTAATACGCCGGATTGTCAGGAAAAACAGTATTCGTCGCGTTTGGGTTGTTCGCTTTAGCATGCATGGTGTGACCTGTTATCACTTATCACACTTCACAAAATTAAAAACATTTTAATTCTTTAACTTTTGAAAATAAAGAGAAGGAGATGTGCGGTAGACTGCAGACGCTGAATTAGTGGATATGTGGGCATGCTTTATTTGCCATCTTAAAGAATTTGTATTTCTGCAAGAGTTAAATATTGTTACGAAATTTGTATTTAGATTGCTAATTTTAGTAGAATTATAATTGAAATTGTTGTACTTCCTCGTGCAATGCAGCGCGAGACAGATTTTAAGAGAAAGCTTAGCCGGAAAATTAAAAATACAAGAGCACGTGCATTTAACATTGAGTAAAAGTTTATCTCAGTACTGTTCAATATACTGTAACTGAACACTATGTACTGTTCAGTATAAATGTAACCGAACACTATGTTAGCTGTAACCGTAATTCGACAATCTTTTTTGCCTTTCAGAAATCTCGAGAAGCAGAAATTACTAGAAAGATCTCGTGCGGCCGATTGAAAGCTATTTAAGGACGAGAGCGTCTCAGTTCATCTCTTTTCAGGTTTTCACGCGACGTTAAATACAGACTTATTCCGTGCTTTTCCCCATGATAACAGTTCATCTGCATATATTTCAATTATTTAGGAAAATGAGCAAAGCATTACCGAGAGAATGAACGATCCGTACTATATTTATATGTTGTTTATATAACTTTTTTTTTATTTAATGTTGTTTATCCTCATCTTTAGAGCTCTTAATCCAAAAAATTGTTTGAAAATTTTAGGCTGTTTATGTCAAAGGACATAAAATTTCGTTTCGGAAAGAAAAATAGTTTAGAAAATTAACAAACCTTTGAAGATGCTTATTATTAATTTATGGTTTTTTTTCCCCTTATAATGTGGTAAACTCATATGAGAATAAAGTGAATAAAAAAAAAAAAAAAAGAATCGTTTACCTGAAAGAAAAAATTACTCATGTATTTAGTAGCAAACTTGAGAAACTTTTTTCCAATCAAATTTATGTCAGTATGTATGTAACAGTAAACTAAATAGAAAATATAAAATACATTCAGAAAGTAAAAATGCATGATTTGTATGTATCTCTACATATAATAAAAGAAAGAGTCTGTCTCTGTGTGTGTGTCTTTCGTTTGCTGCGCGTAAGCTAATAGACCCACGGCCACGAAATTTAGAACATAGGTGCATCTAAACAAGAGCCAGTGCACCTCGAAGCGATTTTTTTTTAAATTCGAATTAGATATTTTATATTTTGTGACGAAATCGCGTCATTTGGAAATCATAGGCATAGGAAAGCGAGATTTTACTCTACACACTCCATTTTTACATCGTCAGAAAAACGAGCATTTAGCTATTTTGCGATCTTAAAATAATTTCGTGTTTCAATAAATCGATTAATACGAATTTATTTAACAAAGGGATTTAACATCTTTTCAACGGGATTTTTTCTAAAAATTTTTTAAAAATGTACAGTTATTTTTCTTGATTTTGGACACGTTAAACTTTCATCTTTGCGACTGCTTTTACAAAAAGAATTTGGAAAAATTAGAATATTTTGTATTTTAAAAAAAATTTAAAATGAAGCTTCCGAGTACAACTTCTCACATCTTTAAAATGTGATTTTGGCAACAATTTTCCTGTCTTATCTTTGTTGATAGATTTTTTGATGAATCGCATCATTTTGAATGTTTTCATCTTTTAGAAATATGGGTTTGGCAACAATTTTCATCGTATTTCTATGTCACGTTTTAAGAGATTGGATATTTCATTGTCATTTTTACTATATCTATAAGACTTTTTATGATTTTTTTTATAAAGTTGTTCAGTAAATTCTGTGCGGAATTTATGTTTTTTGATGAATTCTTCATGTTATTTTTTTGCTTATTTCACTGTTTGTAAGATATTGAAAAGTTTTGCATGATTTTTTTTCTTCAATGGAAGTTGGTTAATTTTTTTATTAGGATATTAATATTGTTTAAGGATATACGTAGCTTTTTCATTGTAATTTTTTCCTTGAAAAATAAGATAAAATATCATTAATTATACTTTGATTTTCAGAATGTTTTGTTTTTTGTTCTTTTATTTATTTATGCTATTTCACTGATTTTAAGATATTGAAAAGTTTTGAGTGATTTTTTTAGGAAACAAATTTTTAACCTCCTTTGTACCATTTGAGTTCTAAGATTTCAGGGAAGTTGGTTAATTTATTTATTAAGATAATGTATTGTATTAAGGGATATTGCTATTTCATGTAATTTTGTTTACGTAATAACTTTTTTTATAA